TATAACACAGCAACATACTAATCAATGAATATCGGTGCAATTGGGCACGTAGTCGCGACGACAACTTCTTGTTCGAATCTTGGACCTCCTTACTCCCGAGAGCTTGTAGCAGCGCTACGCACGTTCATCACCCGCCAACAAGAAAATTGTTGATTATGGTGAAGATGGACTTGCTATTTACGATGATGGAAGTGTGCGCTGCGCGGATCAAATCTGTCGCTCACGGCGTCGCCGTCGTGGCATAGGCAAGCTCATAATCGGGTCTGCGCGACAACGCATCAGCGAAAGCATTCTGCTTTTCTGGCTTTTACTTCACTTCGATCTTATATTCTACAAAGAAAAAGAGCCACGTAGTCATCCTCTGCAAGAGGTGAAGCGATTGAGTCGCAGTGCGTAGCGACGCATAATCTGTGTAGTTCACCTGCACGGCTGGGAGCCGTGCAGGTGAACTCTGAACTAGGCAAGTGCATACTTTATCCAGTATTTCCTTGTCGTGAGCTGGGTAGCTCTTCTCTGCAGCCTTAAGCTGGCGAGATTCGTACGCAATCACCCGATCTCGTCCCTCGGCGTCTACTTGCAGCCGATGGCAAAGTTCGAAGCGTCACAGACAACACTAATACGATGATCGGGGTCTGACAACGCCATTATTGGTGCGTGAAGGACGCTGTCTTTGACCCTGTCAAAACCCTTCAGATACTCGGTGTACCAACAGTATTCCGCATCCTTCTTAAGGAGATACAACCAATTTCGCATAGTTCGTACTATACTTGTGCAAGTAGTCGGTAAGGTCTAGCCATTTTTTGTTTTTTTGGAACCGGCCCGTTCACAGTGGCCAAGACCCTAGCGGAGTTCGCTCGAACGTCACGCTTCCCAATGAAGCCCTATAAAAGGGGTTCTCCAGCGCTGAAGATGTACTTATCTGCATTGACATACAGCTTATTCGTGCGCATGCATTAAGCAACGCCCTCAACTAAACGATGTGGTTTTCCTCATCTGTCCTCCCATACCCCGCACGACTGTGAACGAAGATGTCGTCGAAGTATATTGGTGCATACGCCCGGTGGGGCCTAAACAATTGCGTCACAGAACGATTAAATGTGACTGGTGCGTTTAACAGCCCTTGGGGCATCACCAGCAACTCCCAGAGCATCTCGCCTCGGGGTACTCACCGCTGCCAGCGGAATAACACTCGCTCTCATGAGCAATTGAAAAGAACCATCGACCAAATCCAGTGCACTTTCCCCGTTTTTCTGAGGAACGTCCTTCCTAGGATTCGGCGCGGTGGCAGCGTTTAGCGTATCATCAGCATGAATGATACACCACTTGCCGTTTGGCTTCCGGACACAAAAAGTGGGAGTCGAATGGCGAGACTTGCTCTCACGCACCATTCCTGCCTCGTACTTCGCACGTAAAAAGGCATCAATGACATCACACTGCTCCTTGGGCAGGGGCTATTGGCGTGTTACGCAGTCTTCGGCTTCCGAAGCCAGGTCAATCTCATGCCGCACACCTCGTTCCGGAGGTTGGACCGACGGCGGGTATTTGTAAACGTCGTCTTGAAATCCCGTTACCAAAGAATAGTACGGAACCAAGGGATCCTTCAGGATCAACGATCCACTTCGTGCGCTCCTACCTTCTTGGTGTCCTTCTGGACAGCTTCATCCAGAAGCGACGGCGAGTTAATTTTCTCGTTCGGTAATGACCACCTCGGCTGAATTGGCTGCCTTCAAGGCACCGCCGAACTCTTGGAAGGACATTTCGTCCAGCTCAAAACCAGCATCCACCGCGGTAATAGCCTTGAGGATGACGTCGCCGCCTTTCCCTACCGTCAAACCGTTGGCAAGGGTAAATAGCTGTGCGCTATCAACTACGGTAGACACACCCTGGATCAAGGTCGACGCCCTGCATCTTGCAGATAACATACGACATCGCCGTCCCCTCTCTATATAGGTTTAGCGTCTCATTGAGACCGGTGGGAACACGTACTCTGCGTCATCCAGTGTCCCTACTCCATGCTCCATCGGAGCCATGATGTTATTAACAACATCCAACGAAGATCTAATATTTCCGAAGTCTTCGTCCGGCGGATAGCGTGCCGCTCCACGCGCTTCAGAAGAGCCTTGTCCAGGAAACCTCGGACCTCGTTCGACCATGCCACTCGGCATGCAGCAACTGCTCTTATTTGAGCAGTGCTCAATGATTTTCGTATCACTCTCGGTCCGCGAACCGTGCTCGGGACTCTTGTCCAATACACATGGATCGATTGGATGTCAAAGCCTTCGGCGCTACGCGCACGTCTCCTGGTGAAGCTTTGGTGAGTCATGAGACCACCTCTGCTAGGAAGTAGATGCGCTAATGGCGCGGGCATTGGACCGGACGGTCAACGTGCTGGATATTTGAGTATCCGATTTGTCGAACACCGAAGGTACCCGTGACGTTCCAGATCTACCATACCACATACCTTGTATCCAAGTCTAAAACTACGCAGCGTTCCACGCTATCGAAGTCAAAGACGGCGAGGTCCACAAGGACCTTCGGCATAGTGGCACAAGTCCCCGTCGCTAAGCGAACAGTGGTGGTGTCACTCAACCGCGCTTTCAGCGACTCAGCATACAACTGACTTCCTTCGATCTTGGAGAGCATAATTGCCCGACGCCTCAGAATCTATAAGGAACTTCCTTGGCCTCTCAGAGCCCTTTGTGGTCGCTTTTACGACCAGCAAGCCCGGCTTGCATACACGTTCCGTGTTCAAGAGCAC